CTGCCCCATTATGGGCCCCCATGCCTACCCACGTTCACTGATTTTTCCAGGTGTTCCTGAGGAGAAGACTGAGCTGCGAGTTCCATACTTTGTTCATCTTCTTCTGTATCTCACAGAGAAACTATGGGGTGGACTCATAGAAATTGGACTTCTGTGAAGTTTGTCTTCTACTTGGGTGTCCTTGCTAGTACGTACCCATGTCCACCTACTCTGTCCCATAAGGCACAGGTTAACACAGGATGGAGTAAGGCGGGTTATGTGGAGGGTGCAAAAGAAGGGTCAAGAAAACCGTCATGAGCAGAATTAGGGGTGTTCCTCCTTAGACCCCCTCCAAGGGCTCTTGGGACGGGCTGAGCCCACCCTTTCAGTGCTAAGCTACAAGCTCCGGGGTGGGTTATGGTGCACACCTGCTTTGGAGAATTCTCAAGAGTGAATTCCCCTTCCTGGTTCCAAATGTGGGCCTCATCACCCACTGGGCAAGTCTCAGTGTAGTCACAAGGTTGGAGAACTCATTTTGATGTCCAATATCCCCGTTTCAAATGCTTAGGCTCACAATGCATGGAATGGCAAATCTGAGAACAAAAATCAAACATAAGGGCCACGCCTCCTGCACTCCGTGACTTCCAGGCAGTGCAGATGGCGGAAGTTACTGATGATGCATCTCCCACCCCTCTGACTACCTAGGTCATACCACATACAGCTGTGTGAGCTTGGACAAGTTACTCATCTATGCTTCAGTTTCTTCAGTCAGAACGGGGATAGTACTGCCTACATTAGAGAGATGCTGGGAAGATTAAATAAATCCATGTCAAGCACTTAGAACAAGAGATCAGCGTTTCTTGTTCCTCGGAAATATTCCACCCTTTTCCCCCTGGGGTCTCTAACTGTGACCACACAGAGAAGGGTGTGGTGAGGTACCGCCCAGGCTTGGGGAGAATAAAAGAGGTACTATGAGCAGCCCAGATAAGAACACTCTTTTATTTCTGATACTATAATCAGTCTTCCTCCCCTTTCCTCTCTACTTTTTTAATGATTCAGTTATTAAAAAATTCATGGTCATACTAGAAACTTTGGAAGTATTAAAAAGTAGGAAAAAATAAACATAACCAATCCTGCCTCTCATTCAACACATGCTAACACTTTGTTTGAATTTACTCCAAAACTTTATTTTTTTGCATTTAATTTATATTTTATTTTTAATTTTAATTTATACTTCTATTACATTGCATTTATATTTTTTGCTTTTTTTGTGCGTGGCTTATTTTTTTGTTTATTGTTTTTAGTCAATTAGATTACTGGATTAAATGTATGCTTTTATTATTATTTTTACCTTAAAGACAGGTTATCAACATTTCCTTTGCCATTTAATATTCTTTATAAAGACAATTTTAATATATATGATGTTCTACTTTTTAATGTCAATGTCCAACATTACTGTTTGGGCATCTATATTTCCAATGTTTAACTATTATGAACAGTGCTAAAAGGACCACACATTTATAATTTTTGTCTACATCTGATTATTCTTTAGAATGCAATCCTAGATTTGGAATTTTTAGGTCACAGGTGATGGACCATTTACAATTCCTGGTGCCTATTTCTAACAATCTTTTCAAAAAGAGTCAATTCACATTTCTACTTGCACGGAATGAGATTCTCTCTTACTGTACTTTTTAGATCGAATATTATCAACATTTAAAAAGATATAAATATTAGAGAAAATGGTACATCATTTTAATTTACATTTTATTAGAAAAAATGTCAAAGATTTCCACATTCCTGGACAGTCAATTACTTCTTTAAAGTTGTTCATATTCCTTTTCAACTAGGAAATTGTTGATTATCTTATTTGTTCTAAGAATATCATACATATTAACAATATTAATTACATTCACAGGGACATTCTTCTCCGCTCACTCATCTGTGCAGAAGGAAGACCATGCTCCCTATTTGGTATACCTCAAGTCTCACTTCAACCCCTGTGTGGGTATCCTTATCAAAAACAACTGGGTGCTGGCCCCAGCTCACTGCTACTTACCGTGAGTGTTAGACACCCTCACCCCCTGAAGCAGCTACTATGCATTCTACATCAGTGGTTCTCAAATAGAGGCAGTTTCCCTCCAGGGTACATTTGGCAAAGTCTGAAGATTGTCTTGGTTGTTACAAGGAGTGGGGTGGGGAGAGAGGGCTGCGATGCTGATAAAGATCCTAATGCTGTTAAGATCCCAATACTGGCATCTATCTAGTGAACAGAGGCCAGTCCCCACAACACAGAATTCCCCGGCCCCAGTGCCAATAGCGCCGCTGAGGAAGAACCCTGTTTCCAAATCTCCCGAAAGTCTTTTCAAGTTTTATACTGGCAATAAGAGTGTGTTTTTTTTCAGTTAAGGGACAGGTAACTGATGGAGCCCTCAAACTGGATTAAATTGAGAAGACTTTGTTAAAAGAACTAATGACAATGGTATGGACAAGTTATAGGGAAAACACAAATACTCCCAGGATCAGTATTAGACAGGCACCGTTACTACCCTAGTAACTAGTCACTATCCTGGATGGGAGAGACTGACTGAGGGGCAGGGGCAGAGGGCACTACATGGAGCTGTAACCTTTGGTCAAGAGGCACAGCAATGTGTGGCAACCCTGCAGGAAGGGAGCTGGGGAGATAAGTACTCCAACCTCACTCTACTTCCTCTAATTACTTTCTGGTGCTTTCCATTGGCCAAAGCCCAAGCAGAAGCTGTTGGACAAGAGGGCCTATTGATTTAGTTAATCCAGAGAGATCACCTTCCAAAGGTAGAGAGCTGGAAGAAGTAGGATGGTGAGTAGATCTGATGGAGCAAACAACAGGCACCCAACACTCAAGTCACCCATCTCTTTCCTCCATCGGAATGTAAATGCCCAACTAGATAGGCTGGAGCTGGAGTGAAGAGGAAAGGGAATTTCTATGCTGTCATAGTTTTCTTCTCTACTGCATTAAAGGCACTACATGAACACACAGTGATTAAAAGCTCCAGCACTTATTGTATCACTGGTGAACTAATCCTATGTGCCTCCATTACTTCATCTGTAGGATGGGGATAAAAAATATAAAGCATTTGGCACAGTGCCTGGCAGGTGGTAACATTTGATATCTGCTTTGACGATGATGATGATGATAATGATGATGATGACAGTGATTACTTCCAACCCCTTCTCTCTCCAGAAATCTGAAAGTGATGCTGGGAAATTTCAGGGTCAGAGTCCGAGATGGGACAGAACAGACAATTAACCCCATCCAGATTATCCGTTACTGGAACTACAGTCATACCTCCCCCCAGGATGACCTCATGCTCATCAAGCTGGCTAAACCTGCCAACTACAGCCACAAAGTCCAGCCCCTTTCCCTCGCCACCAGCAGTGTCCGGCCAGGCACCATCTGTCTGCTTTCAGGTCTGGACTGGAGCCAAGACAACAGTGGTGAGTAGCTTCCCAGAGCAGACTGGGGTCATCAGTTACTTATGAAGAGGAGCACCCATATCTGCATAGCTGAGAAGAGAGGAGAATGTGTGGAGACAAAAGGAGACCCTCCCAGAGTCCAAAGCTCCTGCTTTCCCAGGGTGCCTAATGTCCCACTGCCTCTGGAAGCCACCAGGCGCTCTGCCTGCACAGATCTGCACCATTCCTGACTGTCAGAGGCACAACTCACACTGAAGAGGCTGTCTCCTCCCTTTCACACAAGCTCACCTCACATGGAAGGATACCTCAGAGAACTTGAGTCAGGTCACCTGTTATTCCTCCAAGACTGGACACAGAATAGAAAGAAAACTCTGCTTCTAAAGAAACATAAAGGCTATTTTAGTGAAAAGCTGAAAGCTCACTCTCAGCACTGTTATTCAGCATGGTACTAGAGGTCCTAGCCACAGCAATCATACAACACAAAGAGATAAAAGGCATCAAAATTGGTAAGGAAAAAGTTAAACTGTCACTATTTGCAGATGACATAATATTATACATAGAAAACCCTAAAGACTCCACCATAAAAAATTCTTATTAGAACTAATAACTGAATTCAGCAAAGTTGCAGGATTGCAAAATTAATACACAGAAATCTGTCATATTCTTATATATTAACAAACTAACAAAAAGAGAAATCTGTTTACAATTGTATCAAAAAGAAAAAAGTCCTAGTAATAAATTGAAGACCTATACTCCAAAAATTACAAAATACTCATGAGAGAAATTAAAGACACCAAAAAATGGAAATCTATCCTGTGCTCATAGATAAGAAGAATTAATATTGTCAAAATGGCCATCCTACCCAAAGCAATGTACAGATTCAGTACAATACCTATCAAAATGCCAACAGCATTCTTCAATGAACTGGAACAGTTCTAAAATTCATATGGAACCACAGAAGACCCCGAATAGCCAAAGCAATTGTGAGAAAGAAGAACAAAGCTAGGGGATCATGCTCCCTAACTTCAAGCTCTAACACAAAGCCACAGTAATCAAAATAATTTGGTACTGGCACAAGAACAGACACATAGATCAATGGAACAGAATAGAAAGCCCAGATATAAACCCATACATATATGGTCAATTAATATGATAAAGGAGCCATGAATATACAATGCAGAAAAGACAGCCTCTTCAACAAATGGTGTTGGCAAAACTGGACAGCTACATGTAAGAGAATGAAACTGGATTACTGTCTAATTCCACACACATAAAAGACCTGAATGTAAGTCATGAAACCATAAAACTCCTAGAAGAAAACATAAGCAAAACTCTCTTGAATATAAGCATGAGCAATTTTTTCCTGAACACATCCACTCAGGCAAGGGAAACAAAATAAAAAATGAACAAGTGGGACTACATCAAGCTAAAACATACAGCAAAGGACACCATCAACAGAACAAAAAGTAATCATATGGTATGAGAGAATATACTCATGAATGACTCATCTGATAAGGGGTTAACATCCAAAATATATAAAGAACTCATACACCTCAACACCCAAAAAACAAATAACCTGATAAAAATTGAGCAGAGGACCAGAACAGACAGTTCTCCAATGAAGAAATACAGATAGCCAGCAGGCACATGAAAAGATGCTCCACATCATTAATCATCAGGGAAATGCAATTTAAAACCACAATGAGATATCTCACAGCAGTTAGGATGGACAACATCCATAAGACAAGAAACAACAAATGCTGGTGAGGATGTGGAGAAAGGAGAACCCTCCTTCACTGTGGAAAGCAGTATGGAGGTTCTCAAAAAACTAAGAAATAGAAATACCATTTGACCCAGTTAATTTCACTCCTAGGAATTTACCCAAAGGAAACAAAATCCCTGATTTGAAAAGATATATGCACCCCTATGTTTATCGCTGCACTATTTGCAGCAGCCAAGATATGGAAGCAACCTAAGTGTCCATCAATAGATGAATGAATAAGGAAGATGTGGTACACATACACAATAGAATACTATTCAGCCATAAAAAGAAAACAAATCCTGTCATTTGCAACAACATGGATGGATCTAGAGGGTACTATGCTCAGTGAAATAAGCCAGGTGGAGAAAGACAAATAGCATATGATTTCACTTATTTGTGGAATATAAAAACAAAGCAAAATGGAACAAAATATCAGTAGACTCATAGACACTAAGAAGTGACTAGTGGTTACCAAGGGGGAGGGGTTGGGGTGGGTGGGGGGAAGTGGGAGAAGGGGTTAAAGTGGAACAATAATTCACAATCACAATATAAGTTGATCACAGAGACCACTGAACCACTGTGATATACATGTGAAACCAACACAAGATTGTAGATTAATGACACTTTAATTTTTAAAAAGGAGATGAATAAATATGTTTGCAATTGTATTATCTGTTAAAAAGAAAGAAACATTAAGGTAATTTTTAAGTCCTCCAGATTAACTTTCATAACCTGACACATCATTTTCCCTTTTTCTTACAGCTTATTTTCTTCAGACATACATACAAAACACCTATTGAAATAGAGGGTGGTGGTTGAAAGGACTAAATAACAACTGTGAACAGGAGGCTTTCTTATATCCCTGTCTTCCCTCAGGCAGACACCCTGATTTAAGGCAGAACCTGGAGGCCCCTGTGATGTCTGATGAAGAATGCCAGAAAACTGAACAAGGAAAAAGCCACAGGAACTCCTTGTGTGTTAAGTTTATGAAAGTGTTCAGCCGAATTTTTGGGGTAATCTTTTCAATTAGTATTTGGAGTATTAGCTTTCACTTACTTTATGTATCTAGTTAGCTATTTAATCATGATATTTTTAAAAATTAGAAAGTGCTCATCCTCTCATAATTTTTTGAGAATTTGAGAAGGCTGCAGTAAAGCCTCTGTTGTTTCTTCAGTAATAGGCTCTCCCTACAGATGTCTTTATTCATTAAAGGGCATGATGCAGTAACCTGTGATTAATAACACTTTGCTAGGTTTATATTCTCATAGTTGCAAATGAAAATGGGCATTGCTAAAAAAAAGTTCCAACTTTTCACAGACTGAAACTGATTTCACCAGTTCAAATAAATGGGGTTTGACTCATTTTACATGTGAGTTCCAGAGAGGTTTTTCTCTTTCTCAAGATCACACAGGCTAGTTACGGCAAAGCTAGATAAACGTCTCAGGCTTCCTGTCTCCCGGTTCGGTGCTCTGTTCATGACCCAGCATGCCACCTCAGGCAGGGCTCATCCAAGTCAGGGACCCGGGGGCTCCTGGAAGAAGCAGACCTGACCATTTCTCCTCCCCCTCCCCACATTCTCTGGCAGGAGGTGGCCGTTGCTACTGTCATCTGCAAGAACAAGCTCCAGGGGATCGAGGTCGGACACTTCATGGGCGGGGATGTGGGCATCTACACCGATGTTCACAAATATATATCCTGGATTGAGAGCGTCACTGAAGACAGATGAGATCCTACTACTCTTCTGCATGTCACCGGCTCTGCCACTGACTGTACACGCCACTACCTTCCCCAACTCAAAATAAAATCTCTAAGCATAAATCTTTGGAGGCATCACTCCAGTTGTCCACATTTTCTTGTTTGTGTTTCTGCCCATATCCCATAATGATGTGAAGAACCAAGAACAAAACATCAGATGAGCACTTACTCCACTGTACTGGGGTTACACCCATTATCTCATTTAAGGCTCACACAAACCTTTGAGGTTAGCTTTTATCCCCCTTTACAAGGGGGAAAATTGAGACTAGAAGAGTTTATTTAATATTACCTGTAGCTAATAGATCAGAGCCTAGAATGGAATCCCCCAAATGTCAGACTCTCGGTCCCATGCACTTCACCTCAAAATTACAGGCGAGTCCATGGTATCAGAACAGATGGTGCCTTCTGTTTTCGTCCTACTTCTCTTACCATTCAAAGGGCTTGAACCTGAGATCCTGGGCACTGGAATAAGCTCTCCTAAGAATGGTCATGCTTCCTCTCCACATGCTGCAGGGAGAGAGCTAGTGGATGGGTAGGAGCAAACAGCAGAACTTGAGGACAACAACCATAAATCAAGTCCCAACAGAGGCTTGGCAGCTCCAGAACAGGGTGAAGAAGTCATCTAGAGCCAAGGAGAATACAATCCAGGGGCAGTAACGGGTCAAGAGGCAGAGATGGTTGAGAGGTAGTGAAAGAGGAGAGGAAATTGGGCTTAGCCAGAGCCAGAGGATTAACAAGGTCAAGAAAGCCTGTAGTAGTCCTCTGATTGAGAGCTCGGTAACACTGAGACAGGGACCATGGGCTTAGACAGAATAGGGTGAGGGCCTCTGGAAAAAGCAAGGCAGGATATTTGCAGTCAGAGCAATGTAACTATATGCAAGGAAACTGCCTACCAAAACTCTGTGTTGAACATTAAGCTCTAGAGTCATTCTTCAGTGAGATTAGTTAATATTCCCCAGATAAAGAAGCATAGCACATTTTTTATTATGCTAATCATTTGTAATCATGTGTAAGATTCACCTTAGCCCAGGCCTATGTGCTATCTTTCCTCCTTCAGACCTGATGAGGTGATTTTGCAAACTGGGCAACTAATTTAGCAGACCCAGCTGTAAACAACATAATAAAAGGCAGGAAGGATTCCACCTTAAAGATAAGATTGCATTTTAACACCCAGGAAGTTTAAATAGTAAGATTCTTAATTTACTCTTTAGCAAACAGACAATACCTCAGCCAACCTTGGGGGCTGGGCAGGCAACCTTTTGATATGCTCCTAGACCAAGACGCCAGTATCCCAGGGAGAAATCGGAGCAGTAAATTTCTTGTATTAAGTTAATTTTTAATAGTCAGGGACCACTTAACAAGTCCATACCCCTAAGCCTTTTATCTGGTTCCCAAAAATCCTCAACTGCCTATAAAACCTCTAGACAACATACCACTCCGGGCTCTCTTGTCCCCTCCTAGCTCACGCCAGGAGCTCTGTCTGTCCTCTCACTGTATCTCTCAATAAAAGTGTCCCTGGCTCTCCTACTTTGACTGTTTGCTAAGTTCACTCTTCGACTCCGCAAACAAGAACCCCGGCATCAACACCTCTCCAGATCTGGAACAGGTAAAAAAAACTCTCCCAAATCTGGAAATGACAGAGGGATTCAGGATACCCAAAAGATTGCGGCCTATAGGACAAGGATGGGTAAAGCAATCTCCCAGCAGATGAAGGGTCAGGAAACAACCACACACTATCCTTGGACAATATTTAAAGTTTAAAATACAACCTACATGTTAATTACTTTTGTGTTAGGCAGAATAATGGCCCCTCAAAAATATCCACACCTAAATACCCAGAACCCATGAATATGTTATTTACATGGAAAATGCTGCTTTGCAGATGTGATTAGGTTTATGGACCTTGAGATGCAGAGATTATTTTGGATTATCTGGGTGGGACCAATATAATCACATGGGCCCTTAAAAGTAGAAGAGGAAGGCAGAAAATTTGGCCAGAGAAATGAGACAACAGAAGAGGTAGCAGAGATTCAAAGCATGACAAGGACTTGACCCAACATGCAGGCTTTGAAGATGGAAGAAGGGGCCTACAAGCTAAGGAGTGTGAACAGTTTCTAGAAACTGAGAACAGCCCTCAGCCACCAACTAGCAGAAAAATGGGAACTTTACTTCCACAATCACAAGAAACTGAATTCTGGCAACAACTGAAATGAGCAAGGAAATCGAATCTCCCCAAAAAAGAATGCAACCTGGATGACACCTGGATTTTAGTGTGGTGAAATCTGTCAATTTTGTTACAGCAGCCATAGAAAACTAGTACAACTTGTAAACCCTTATTTCCTAAAAGAACTACTTTTTATAATGGGCTATTAAAACCTTCAGTGGTTCCCAACTACCCTGAGAATAAACTGAACTCTTTAGAATGGCATCCAAACCTCTGGCTGTGGATGCCGCTTCCCTGGTGTCAAGCTGCACCTCACAGGTGCTTTCCCTCTGTTCCTTCCCCCATTCCTGGCTCCTCTCTCCAAAGTGTACTCTCCCTGGAGGGACGTGTCAGCTGATCTTCACTAATGTTATTTCACTGATCTCAATCCCCAACACCCAAAAAGTGTTTTAGATTGCATTCTGCCTCGGACAGAGAGGCAAGTTTACGCCAAAAAAAGGAGATGCCCTTTAAACAGGGCTCAGGGAGGGCCGCCCAGTTCTTTTTTCCTTATATCTCCCCCATCTCATTATAGAGATCCTCGTCGGAGCTATGCGCTCATCTAGAACCTGGAAAGATATATTGAAGTCTGAGTGTCATAAAATCTGCTTTGTTAATTTGTATGAAGTTACTAAAAATAATAGAGGAAGAAGATAAGCTACTACTGTTTGCATATCTACTATATATTAGGCACTGTGTTAGATGTTTTGACATGCATTATTTGCATCTAACTCTTTAAAAGGAGTTCTATCCCCCCACTTACTTGAGGTTTCTGAAAGAAAGATGTTTAGTAACTTGTTGAAGATCATACAGTTAATAAATGGCAGACCTTGGATACAAACCTTGGCCCAACTGACTCCAAAGCCTGTACCATTTCCTTTAAGTTTTTCCATAACTACATTGTAAATGCAAAGATGTTTCCTAGGTATTTACACTTGCTTCTTGCCTCAGGTAAGATGAAAAGCCCCTATTTAAACAACAGAAGTTTCCTGGCTTCTTACATGATCTTTGATTTTAGCTTCTAGTGAAAAATTCTTTGAGGTTTATATATAGTGAGTCTTCAGGATTCCTATTTCAATTTAAGGTTTCCCTGGAAACTACTCCATAATATTCTAGTTTTATATTCCAGAAAGTGACAGATTTAAGCCCAAAGTAAGTATAACTAGAATGACTGCACTATGATAGCAACAGGTGACTAGCAATATTATTGCAATTTATATATTTTGATAAATAGTTTTGAATGAAGAATCAAAGCCAAAACTGCATTTTTAAACCAAATAGTGATATTTTAGACTAAGAAATTTACCCTCCCTTTACAGATGTTTTCATTCTGTTAATTTAAGCAATCTACAGATAAACAACTGAAACATAAAGCTGAGGCTAAGAATAATTTGTAGAACTATTAGCACATCAGTTTGGATATCCAGAAATAATGTATTTAGGTCATAATCAAGGGAAATAAATTGGTAACCTGCTTCATTTTAGCTACTAATGCTTTGGACATGGATTTGGGTATAATTTACCCATTTCAGAATACAGAAGTTTTATACATTTATTCAACTCAGCAGAAAAGTATTGCCAATATTTTTCAGTTTGGAAGGATTATCTGTCAACCAAGTATTTTAGAATTACCTGTGGACAAATATTTGCATAAGAACTCAGCTTGTAAACTTTCATTAACTCTGATTTGAATTTTTAAATAGTCATTCTAAAATCTAGCAACAAATTGCAGAAATAACCATAAAAGTTTTAAGGTCTTTAGATGAGCATCTACCACACTCCTCCTTAGTAGAATATTCTAGTTCATGTAGATATTGAAAGGGATAGAGGGAATAGATTAAAGAAAAAGAGGGGATAGATGAAAGAACAGAGGGAATGTGAACTCCACAGTCCAAGCAGGTTTACTGCTAACCTGAGAGGGCCCCCTCTGTCCTGGCCAGCAGAACAAAGGAAAGAGGGTCTCTAATGGGTCAAAAGGCTTTTTATGGCCAGGGGTTTGGCGGGCTTTTTGAGGGGAGGGGTCAGGGGAAAAGTGGGCTTGTGGCTTGCTGACGTGTCCTCTGGAGGATGCTTGTAGCCTACATAAGATGACATCTAGGTCTCTCTGTGATGGTGGGTGGGCTTATTCGAAAGATGGTACTCAGGTCTGGATTCTATCAGATATTAAATAAGAAGGTTTGAGGGGCTGAAGCAATTTCAGACATAAAAATAGGACACAAAGCTCTCTGTAAAGTTAGCCCCAGACCCTAGTCACATAACAACTTCTGAGAAACTAAAGGAAAAGATATAAATCCCATGAGAAACAGGATGTTCAACTAACTCCACACTATTTTTGCTTCTGTATATTGCTTTGTTAGAGAACAGCAGTATCACACATTTCCTGCAGCAGGTGGGAAAAACAGGATGCTTAAGCCCCCTGAGCATTGAACAAGGAATATAGCTTGCTGAATTTAGGCAAAGGCGGAAAAGTTGCAAAAACTAAGGAGGATGCAGTAAAAATGCTTAAAAGGATGTTGTAACAGAGGCTCAGGGCTGCACTTGGAGAGCTTGCTCCTTGGCAGACACCGGCTGGCTAAAATAAAGGCTCCCTTTTTATAATCTACGTTTCTGTGAGGACGTGTTTCCTTACTCCTGCTCCGGCGTGCCAGATCTGAGACCCATAACAAAGGAAAACTGTAAATATCAATCATTTTCTGATTTAGACCCTAATCAGTGCAATATCGCCTTCTTGGCTAAAGTGAATGTTCTACTGAAAAAGAATAACTGTCCAAAGGAGAAGAGATTTTGAAAAAACATGCTTTGTTTTAGTGACTTTTTAAAGGTTTCTAAAGTTACCAGTTTAGAAATA